TGTCTAAACAAATCATTTTTCTTTCATCTTGAATACTGTAATTACGTATTGTTGTTTTGATTACTATTTAAAATACGCCGCTCAATTTGCCAAACTTGATTTATGTGGATTGCACAACGGGAAAATTAAAGAAAGATTTAATGAACACAGGTGAGATGTCAGACCCAACAACATGACATTAACAGAGCTTGCAGAACATTTTATTACAAACGACTGTACTTTCAACAAGCATCTTAAGGTGCACATTCTGGAAAAAATAATACAGAATCTACCAACTTTGTGACCCTTTAAACGCATGAGAATAGTTACGTATGCAAACTATTAATTTCACGTCCCAGAACCGAATGACAGAAGATTTCCATAAGATTGATACTAAGCTGTTTGATTGATTCTTCATAGTAATTAATCAACTCGCAGAAAAATTCCAAGATTAACACGGTCACCATCATATTAAGCACATTTCAATTGCATGGATTTACGTTCGGGGAATTTTATTCGTTATAACGTGTTTATTATTTGTGTGGCCGTGTTTTCATCACAAGACGGAAACACTTATTTTTGAGAGCTGGACGGATCTTACATCATTTTTTTTCCAGTTTGTTTTCGGGGTCATCAACTCCAACCTTATTTCATAACTGTTGTACTGGAACACACCTATTCTATTGTTAAGAGACTCTCCCACCTATAATAATAAGTAGTAGTAGTCGCTCAGTGAGTTGGTGAGTCAGTCGATGTCGGACATTAAAGTATCAACCACCACAACTAGATTGCTGCGTCATTAACTATTATAACAAGTTCCTAACGTTTTGTACGTCGAATCTATTTTAGGACCGACTTAGTGAAATACAAGCCTCCACTGTGAAAACTACATTGATATAATTTTTATACGATTGCACATATTGACATTTTAAGTAATGTGGTGTTTTTCAGTAGGGGTCTCCGTGAGTGTGAGGTATTTTGGTGCATGTAGGAGCCAATGGTGATCGATAGATTCTTATGGCGAATGAGTAAATTGTATCGAATGATTGGGTTGTGAATCTGATTAGCCAAGTATAAGAGTCGACCAGCCTTGACCCATCTCCCCTCTTTTCTCATTGTCACAATTACTGTATTCAATCAGTATTAAATCGTAGACAAGCAACATTAGTAGAAAGGCTTACATATTTTTATAGTTGAATTTAAAATATATATATATATATATATATATATATATATATATATATAACTTGAAGAAAACCGACATACTCTCGAAATATTGTTTAACATTTTCATTTTTCTTTTCTTAAATCGCGCGCTTCTTTTAACTGTTGAAAAATATTTTGTTTATTATTATTATTGTTTGTGTGTTATGTTTCCTGTTTTGTATTCTGTAGAGCTTGGTCCAAAGTATGCTCCTTAGACCCTAAAGGAGAATTGTCATTTAATTGATAACATTTTTATTTGTATATGGGATGTTCCAAGTAGGGTGATCTTCTTGCCAACCTGTACGTTGATGTTACCTGGGACACTGTTAGTAAAATTATCCATTCCTTTTCTCGCGAGGTCCAGTGCTTTGATTACTATCGGCACAGTCTCAGTCTTCATTCAACCACATCCTGTTAATCTCGATATGAAGGTCCTTGTATTTGAACAATTTCTCGATAATTTTTATGGAGGTGCTTCTCTCAGATGGTACTACTATGACAATAAGCATACACTTCCTGAATTTCTTGTCTTTTATTATAATATCAAGTCTCTTGGTTTTTATTTTCGTGTCAGATGGAATTATGTCCCTGAGGATAGTTACATCGTTATTTTGAGTAACTGTGTCTGGTTGGTGGTCATGTCATCTCTCAGTGGTTTCGATTTTGTGCTTCTTGCATATCTTCCAGTGCACATATGTCGCTACCTTGTTATTATTATTATTATTATTATTATACCTATGACAAAAAGTCCAATATACACGTCATGAGACCGAGTTTGATAAGGTTATGCCAGGTATAGTGTTGTGGTAAACCCTCTTACAGTATAATGAACTCTTCCTTCTCTCATAAATACAAACTGCGAGAGTCGAATGGGAGCGAAGAGTGTGAAGTGGAGTGGAGTAGTAGACGGGGTGCTAATCTACTTATTACTAATACTATTGACAGAGGACAGAGCGGAGTTCTATAGACTTGAATGGCAACTAGTCTACCGCAGAAAGAAATGGCGACCTACTGTGGGAAAAATCTGCCTCATCATTCATATACGTGTATCGCGCATGACACATGACTAACATATATATCGTAGATATATAAACGTAGAGTGATTTTAGTTACTCACTTGCAGCTTTTTTTACTTTTGGACTGAAAATTTATGACACTGGACGATTTTTTCAGCCTGTTCGAACGTTTTAAGTTCCAATCTTTTTCTCGGATACCAATTTGTTTTGATATACTTGCAAATTATGCCATCCGGGTTTTTTTTTACTAACCGAGTATAATTATTAGTATAATATATATATATATATATTGCAATTCTGTGGTGAGAAACAAAAAAACATCAGTCTACAAATTTCCAGAGAGACCATTGAAAATAGAAGACAAAGCCCTGAACTATGTAAAGTCTTTCACCTATCTTGGTAGCAAAGTCAATTACAGTGGAACTTTAAATGATGAAATCATGCATCGGATTGCTAAGGCTACCAGTGCTTTCGGCAAACTTCGCCATCGCTTGTGGAATGAGCGGGGTATTCAACTGGATACAAAAATTCAGGTTTACAGAGCTGTTGTACTTGCCATCCTATTGTACGGCTCAGAGTCTTGGATTCCATACAGGTACCATATACGCCAGCTGAATGTTTTCCATAAAAGCAGTCTGCGTGCAATCTGTGGAGTTAACCTTCAAGATAGGACATGTAAAAGTGTAATATTGGAGGAATCGAGACTTTTCTCATACAGTCTCAGTTACGGTGGACTGGCCATGTCTTGAGAATGTCTGATGACAGGATACCCAAGATCCTAATGTACAGCCAGTTAGATCAGGGCTACAGGAATGTAGAACGCCCATGGCTAAGATACAAAGAATAACTGAAAAGCAACTTATCAGCTGTCAGTATACCACATAACACCCTTGAGCGCTTAGCATTGGAGCGGGTAGAATGGAAATCAACGTGTTTTAGTGGACTTAGCAGTTTTCAATCTGCTTGTCTGAATCATATTCAAGAAGTGAGAGCAAGAACTAAAAGGTCAGCCAATCTAACTGTGATCTCATCTAACAATCCTCACTCTTGCTCCATATGTGACCTCCTTTGTAAATCACTACCGAGTCTTAAATGCCACTTAAGATTATCGCACAAAATTTCATAACTGAATGACCCTAAGCTGTCAGATCCTCATACGTCGAAACCGACGGCAGAGTCCATATATATATATATATATATATATATATATATATATATATATATATATATTATAATAAAGGAAGAACAGTAAGATATATAATCCGGTGTTCTTGTTGATATTTATATTTTTATAAAACAGTGCTCAATGTAAATTTACAGAGCATAAAAATATGGTTTCTTCGCATATTTTAAATCAGTTAATTTATAATATATATATATATATATATATATATATATATATATATATATATATATATATATATATATATATATATTTTGACAGCATGCTTTCATTAAGACTTGTCTCATTGAAAAGTTTAGACAAGTTTTGGTTACTTATTTTCAGTAGGATCCTCTCATATTCACGGACAAGAGAGAAAATTATCATGTTGATACATATTCAATTATTCCGAATACTTTCGACATTAGCACAATCTCATCATCAGAGTGTTGTTTTTTGTTTTGTTTTTTCTAAGATAAAATTGTTGTGTCCATCTGAAAGTTAAATTTTAAAATGTAACTTTCATATAGACATTTCAAACTTAGTTACCTCTCCTGACGTTTACAAAGTGAAATTTAAACTCCACAATCCATAACCTTAGCCCTTTTCACGTCATGCCCGGACCGCATATCGGAATGTAAATTTGCTCGCACCTCATCAAATTTTATGTGACAAAAAGTACATTTAAAAATAAAAAAAAAACAGTGTGAGGTTTAAAGGGAGATAACCGCGGATTCGAAGTCAAAACATTATCATTAATAACTCTCTCCTCCAATTTGAATAACCTAGTTACTATATTCTTAATACTTGATATAATGCAAAAATATCAATGATAAAATCGGTCAATAATTACTTATGTCTATTTATACTGCAATTATAAGTAATCCATAATAATATTTTCAATTTTGAAATCATATATATATTTGGCATATTAATTTTCGGAAACTGTTTCTAAATCTTTGATTGTCTTTCACCTCACCTGCTATCCTCTTCCGCCACACCTACAGGAACCACTGGCTTAAGGTGAACAAGCTAATTACAAACCTTAAGGGCTTTTCCAGGAAGAGGACAGAGAGCTGAACACTATTTAAGGGAGTAACAGTGATCATTCCGAGCAATAGTATAAAAACAGCCTAGAAGCTCTCGGACAGAATAAAATATAAAATTTTACGAAACTTTAAAAATTCAAAGGTTATCCGATCCAAGCCAGGTGACCACATCTGGTTATTGTATGACAATCTCAAAGATTATGGTTAATGGGTTCATTTTTAACGAAACATTTATTAGATTTTATTTATTTATTTGCATTCGGTTTTGAGCTGGAGTTAATCCATGTTAAAAATATTTAATCTCAAATGCAATTGCAACTGACTCCCTACTCACTGGATATGATCCTTTTATGCTAATTATAGACAAAGATCTCGATTTAAATATTTAATATACAGTTCTAAGGATTCGTTTTCTCGGCGAAAGCCATCTTGAAGCAAAATTAGATTGATCCTACAAATCAACTCGACCTTAGAGTGCTAATTTTGCAAACCAGGAACAATAGGTTTATTCTTCATCTTCGACTTCATAAGGACGATTTCTTACCAACAAATATCTTTCATTTCATGCCTTCATATTTTAAGGCGACAAATGGCATTTACTGTTCGCTTTTCATTGTTCCGCTCTGCCTTCGAGCCGAGCGAAGTGCGAATTAAATAAATGCCAGAGTAATAAAGCTGATGACAATATCAAATGCTTCAAGGCATTAATTGCGAAATTCGAACTCTTTTTCAAAATGTGCTGGGATCATGACGTTTGTTGTCTGATGTTGGTTCATCTTACCTGGAGCTCATTGGCACCCTCGAGCAATTGACAGAAAACGCAACCACTGGTGCCACGTGACTAGCGATCCTATCGCGTGTTGTCGGTGTGTGTGGGGTGGGGGTTGGGGGTAAATTACTGCAGGCCAACTGCATCACGTGTACCATCGCCGGAAGCTGTAATTGACCGTGGTAGGGGACCGTCGACCTTTGAGATCGAAGCGTTCGTGCATTCTCTTTGTGCCAAAACGCATACACATTTGTATGGAAATACGTACACAGCGTTTCAGACATGCGCAATGGGACGTACATAAGGACACAGGTATTTACACAAAGATAGAGTATTTGCATGTAGGAACCAGTTGTTAAAAGGTCCTTCTTCTTTCTTCTTCTTCTTCTTCTTCTTCTTTTTTCTTCTTCTTTTTTCTTCTTCTTCTTTTTTTCTTCTTCTTTTTTCTTCTTCTTTCTTCTTCTTCTTCTTTTCATCATTCTTTTTCTTCTCTTCATCCACCTTATTCTTTTTCTTCTTCCCCCCTCTCTCTCTTCCTCCTCTTTTTCTTCTTCGTCTTTTAATCCTCATCATACTCCTCCTCCTCTTCCTTCTGCTTCTTCTTCTTGTTCTTCTTTTTCTTCCCCTCTCCCTCCTCCTCCTTTTCTTTTTTGTCTTTTAGTCCTCGTCATCCCCCATCCCCTCTTCCTCATTCTTCTTCTTCTTCTCTTCCTCCTCCGCTTCCTTTTCTCTTTGTCTTTTAGTCCCCGTCATCGTCCATCTATCTCCTCTTTCATCATCATCATCATCATCATCATCATCATCATCATCTTCTTCTTCTTCTTCTTTTTCTTCTTTTAGCTCCCGTCATCCCCCATCTCCTCCTTTTTCTTTTTCTCCTCTTCCTTCATCCACCTTTTCTCCTTGTCTTTTAGTCTTCGTCATCCTCTATCTCCTCTTTCTTCTTCTTTTTCTTCCTCTTTTTCTCCTCTTCCTACCCCTTTTCTTCTTCGTCTTTTAGTTCCCGCCATCATCATCATCCTCCTCCTCTTCTTCTTCTTCTTCTCACTACGCACTTCGCTTTGCAAGATAATTTTGGCAAGCCCTACCAATCTCGGCATAGGCATGTTTCACATTAAAAAACAAAACAAAACAAAAAAAAAAAACATAACGTGTCAACAATTCGAAGATAGGAGACCTTCATTCATATTAGAAAATACAATAAGTTAGCTCAAGAAAAACGAAAATGTTGATGCGAGTGGGTAGGAACGCGAATCCACTGAAAAGTGTGCAAATGGCTGGGAATTGATTGTTTAGGCCACAGAAATGCAATTGCAACTGACTCCCTACTCACTGGATATGGTCCTTTTATGCTAATTATAGACAAAGATCTCGATTTAAATATTTAATATACAGTTCTAAGGATTCGTTTTCTCGGCGAAAGCTATCTTGAAGCAAAATTAGATTGATCCTACAAATCAACTCGACCTTAGAGTGCTAATTTTGCAAACCAGGAACAATAGGTTTATTCTTCATCTTCGACTTCATAAGGACGATTTCTTACCAACAAATATCTTTCATTTAATGCCTTCATATTTTAAGGCGACAAATGGCATTTACTGTTCGCTTTTGTTGATACGAATTATGGATAGACTTAGATTTGTCCCTATTGTACCGTGCATATACACTAAATCCATATCTGCCAAAGTTCTTTTGAAATATTTATCGATTTACTTACTTTCAGCCAAATGTGGTATAAGAGTCATTACGTAGAGTTCTTAATAAAATGTCAAATATACCAGTAATTTGCAAGACCAATACATAAATCCCTGACCAACGATGAGTGCTTCAACAATACTCCCAGCACTTTGTCTAGAATAAATATCCATTCAAGGAAGTGTGTATTATTTTGTGCGTGTGTGTGTTTTTATAATTACATCCCAAGCAAGGTAATAATACCACTGGTTAGTGTGAAGGTGAATGAGAAGCCTTTAGTGGGGTGAATTGAAGAAAGAACAATGAAGGAACAGGCTTCAAGAAAACAGAAGATGGTGATTGACTTTACATTTAAATTTTTGAATATTGTTATGAGGGAAGAAGAAATCGGAAGAGAGTTCCACTGGTGGGAAGTGCGAGAAAAGAAACTGTTGGAGTAGGAGTGTCGTTTGCATCTAGCTAGTTGAAGGGTGGGACCTAATTGCCAATCTAGTAGCACGCTTAAATTCATGTAGTCGGGGCACCAGTGAAAAAAAAAAGAAGCTAATCAGAACAGTTGCTATGAAAATCGTTGTAGAAAAGACAGAGGGAAGAAAATGACTGAAATCGAGATGCCTGATCAGTATTGATTACATTATCGACAATTATTTAGATTTTGTCAATGATGTAATGGAATAACCAGTCACCCCCATGAATGATTACACAATAGGTAGTAAGTACCTATAAAGTCGACTGTCTACGAGAGACGGGGGTAGACGTGGGAAGAGTGAGAGAGAGACGACGCAAGCACTTCCGACATTCCAATTAGTGGCACTCTCTACTAGATTGACCTGTGTGTATAACCGTACCGTATTTCATATTGTACTGGTTGTGTACAATAAACCTTTTCTTCTATTATCCACCTGGTGTTAAGTATTTATTTCCTTAGCACGGGATATAGCATATGCATAATCTGGATTACCAACAAAGCATATGGACCTGATGGTATCCCCGCAATAGTCCTTAAGAAATGTTCTCCCTAAACTATACGTATGGGGACTAGTCTTCATAGAGACATTGTGGTATTTTGGTGGGTGTCGTAAGAAAGGTAAGTAAGAATGTGTTGTTTTGGTGCAAGGATTATTGTTTGTGTGTTTGGGTCAGTGGTTGTGGCAAGCTAAATTTTAAATTAAGACAGATGATGACCATCCCCCTTTTTTTTAAAGCCTTGTGCCACATTTTCTGTGTATTATTACAGAAATAAATACAAAAGTGAGAGCGAGACAACGCAAGCACGCCCGACCTTCCAATTAGTGGCACTCACTACTAGATTGACCTGTGTGTATAACCGTACCGTATTTCATATTGTACGTGTTGTGTACAATAAACCTTTTTCTATTATCCACCTGGTGTTAAGTATTTATCCCCTTTGCACGAAATATAACAGTCAAGAATCTCGAGGTGTACAGCAGGAACCACAAAGCAGATATGGCAACAGTAATCAATACACGGACGAATGGTAGATTTATAAATGTACAAGATGGATTCTGATGAGAAAAAATTTCTGACACGGCACAGCGAACCAACATTTCGAGCAGTAGACGCTGCAATTAATTCAATATTTTAACGCCTCATACGAATGAATATGCGAGTCAATGGTTTAATTCGTGCTTTGGATGGTTGAAATTTTAGCACCTGAATAAAAATAAAAAAAAATTCTTACAAATTAAATTAAACGATTATAAATGAATTAGAATTTTAAAAATTAGAGCAATATATTTTATATCTTTAAATGAAATACTTTGAATGTATTATTAAATTGATTTCTAGTTTCTATTCATTTCTATTCATGTTGCCAACCTAAATGAAATTGCATACTTCATTATGTTGTGACTTGAGAAATTTTCGAACCACGTTAGAAGTGACTGAAGTTCGATAAATTGGCGCGATTTCTGAAGAAAAGATGGCGGCTCTGAAAACCGCATCGAACGGATAATCGCGACCATTAATGATAGGACAATGTAAGAAATCATTATTTTGGTTAATATTATCGATTCTTTATCGATTTTTTAAAAAAACCCTACCGGAACAGGGTGATATTTATCGCTTTTCTCTCTCGAATATTTTAATTTCTGACTAAGATTTATAAATGCAATTATCTATCGCTATACCTATAGGAATCGGTAAATATGGAAATAGTGACACTCAATTCATACTAACAAAGAATACACAGTTAACGTCTTCGATTGGAACTTATTTTGGTCTTTATTTAGTTTGGAATGGTTTCCTCGTTGCTTACCTTATTCGCACGTATATACGGTTGTTAATATCTAGTTATTTGATTTATCTATGTCAGTATATATATATATATATATATATATATATATATATATATAATTAAGTAATTCATCGAGTCTGAAGGAAACTTCAACAGAATGCAAAAAGCACTGGACGGCCGTTTCGTCCTATATTTGGGACTCATTAGCAGTGCGCATCCACTACCGAGAATTGAAACTCGGACAGTTAGATTATCAAGCCAACGTCATACCAACTGCTCCAACGGGCCTCGAAGAGGTTGCAAATCAGATTCAATATAGCGCCGCTCGCTCACATATTCCGTGGTGGAACTCAAGTGACGAAACGACCGTCCAGTGCTTTCTGCATTCTGTTGAGGTTTCTTTTAGACTCGATGAATTACTTAATTATAATTATCAAATCCTCCTAATAATTTCTATCATATATATATATATATATATATATATATATATATATATATATATAACTAGACTCGTTTCGAAAACTTTCCCTGACGATCCGTTTAGGTGAAACCTAGGTAGGTTTGTCTGGCTCACTAGGTGTATATATATATATATATATATATATATATATATATATATATATATATATAATTTATTCGAAAATTATAACATTGTTATAAAATCACTACAAAAATAGTCATTTTGTTTCAACACTTCTGGTGTCTTATCAAGTGATGGTGTTGAATGTAGAATAAAGGGGTTTAAAATGTTCAACAGGAAGATTTAATTATTTTAATCAAGGAAGATTTAAGTTTTTATTAAGTTTTTTCCACTATCCTTACATTTTTACGTTTTGTAGGGTTAAGAAAATACAAAGATTTTCCATAATATTTATTGTCCCAAGCACTTTCGGCCTCTTCTATTGCCATTTTCAAGGCTGTTTTGTCACTGATGTTGTTATTCTTCCTCGTGTTTTCACTATTATATTGTAATTTATTTTTGTCTCGTTTTGAATAGGAGCGTTCATTCGGATCCTTCATGTGTTGTGCAAGGCTGGAATTCGTGTAACTTTCTATTTAAAAAAAACAAAAACAAACCTTTAACACCTCTGTTTCACTGTTAAATAATGTCAGATTGATAGTAGGAAAGAAATGTTTGATATACGGTGCCTCTCTAATAGCGAGATGTTTCTGATAATGTGATTTATATAGAATTCTTGTGTTTTCGTGCAGAATTTTTCTTAAGGGTTCTTATGAGTTCAAAATTATATGAGTTGATAGACGTTTTTTATAGCCAAATCACTTCAGGAGAAATGCGAAAATGGTCCTCCATAAGTTCCTTTCTCTTATTATTCTTTGTAATATTTCTTCCTTTATGAATCCTCTTTGTCATTGTCGTAATTTCTCCTCCGTTTATTTGCTCGTTGATTTCTTCTTTTGCTTTCAATATGCCCTGTGAGTGTTAAATCCGTTAAGCATTCTTTCCTCATTAGCTATTCGAAAACTTCAAATGACTGTTTTTTCCTATTTTTAAACCTTCCTCATTTATCACATGATTAGTCTGTGATATTCCCAATATTCTACGGGAAGACAGCATCTCAACCGTTTCGTCATTTTCTTCGTTTGTGATTAAATTTTGCAACACAAATAACCGAAAAGGCGCGCAATGAAAACTGTTTAGAAATCCTTTCCTAGATAAGTATTTTGGGGTGGGTCAAGAAACTTTAGTCACGTTTTTCATCCGTGGAAGGAGAAGTAAGTCGGAGAAAATGTTTTATTTGTCATATTTGGGGTTGGATTACAAAATGGAAAAGAATGGTTCTTTAATGAAAGACAGAAAGCAGCAGAGGTGACGGGAAGGAAGCAACGAGGAAGCAACGAGGAAACCATTCCAATATATATTGTTTTT